TTTATTTTTAAGAGCTAGTCACTACTCACCTCTTTATACCACATATTCACAGTCATTTTTATATGATTGTTCTGATTGAACTTGAGAGTTTAGAATAGAAAGATTTTCACATTTTCTGACAACCTTAAAAGCTAACCAGTAACTTTAAGCTCAGTGCTTTATAGGTTGTTTTATGATCTGTCTGGATCCTATACTTATGAGGGTGTGTGTGTGTGTGTGTGTGTGTTTGTGTATGGGTATGTATAATTTACAGTAAAGTAAATTAGTCGATTTTTTGTTTTGTAAAATGAAAACATAGGCTTTAAAAATATTGTATAGGTATGACCATTGATATAATCATTATACTCTGTCTGTACTCTGTATGCCTCCTAGAATAGCAGGATTTATTTTTATCCCCTAAGAAACTCTCCTGGGTATCCCAGTTCTGCTTCCCACTGGCCATGAGATCTTGCTGCCTCACTTCCTCATCTTTGCCATGAGGGTAAAATTGCACAGAAAGGGTCAGTTCCCTTTGCTGACCTTCTTTTTGTGCTCCCAATAGTCTCTCGAATGTGACACTTGCTTCAGCCTAAAATTCCTTCCATTTGGCTGGCTCCAAAGTTCCCCCAGCTCGTTAACTAGATCTCTTTATTTAGGGTTTTGTTTCGTTTTATTTATTCAGTTGCAGTACTAGGGGTTGAACCCAGAGTCTCAGGCATGCTAAGCAAGCCCCTACCATTGAGTTACATCTCCAGCCCTTTGTATTTTTTTTATTTTGAGACACCATCTTGCTTAGCTGTGTAGGGGTCTATTCTCATGTTTTATTTTTGTTAAAATTGTGATTTTTGATGAGTTTCACTAACTCTTTAGGGGGCCTGATTCCTGTGCTGCACCACTCACAGTTCTTCACCAAGGAAGCAACAACTGGAAACCTAACCTTACTCAGGGTCTTTAGGGGAAGAGTGGATGTGTTCGCCAGGAGATAGCTGGGGCCTGCTCAGACCCGAAACTTGTCAGCCCCCCATCTGATGTAATGCATATCAACTAAAAGAAAGTTTCTTTCCAGAGACTGAGGAAAAGAGAGCAAGAAAAGGACAGTGGCCAAAGTAGCCCAGTGTCCCTTCTGCTGCAGTAGGACAAGAATGGAAGCTGTCCCCTTGCTGGTGTCGGTGTCACTGAGATTCCATTGGCTCCCTGCTTTCCCTGCCCTGGCCTGATTCAACACAGCAGGCTGTGTTGCCCTTTGGTTCTCCACTTGACAGCAACAGGTACAGGTGTAGGCTGCACTCGGGGACGCTGGGCTGCCATTTGGAAGAAAGTGTAACTCTACCTTCAGGCCACACACCTGGAGGGTGGTCTCTGTGGTTTGGGCGAGTTGACAACATCCATGGGGTTCAGTGAACACACGTTTCTTCTGCATGATCCTTCATTTTATTTGACTGGAACTGTGAATGTAAAGCCCAGAGTTGTCTGCACTTCAGCCAGCTGGGAAGGAGTATTCTTTGTCATTAAGGTATAAACCTGAAACTTGTGTCTTGCCTTCTGTGCACTGTGGAAAGCCATTCATGTCTTACTAACGCCATTCCCACACAGTTGTATGGAACATGGCAGTCTGGCTGGAGGGACTCACAAGGCTCTGTTTCCTCAACTACTCAGGGGAATGGAGGACTCTGACAGTGATACTTGGACATTAATTGAGACATTATTGTAGTACTTTGAAACTTTGAAGCACCAGACAGGTGTTACTTGTTTGGTACAGGGTGGTATGTGAAGTTGAGAGGGGAGTGTGTACATGACACAGTGAAAGGTGTATTTCTGCCCATCTCTGAGGTGGTGAAAAGGAAGCTTGGTAGAGAGGGTGATGTCTGGGCTGGGATTTGAAAGGTTGCTTGTTGAGGTAGCCATTGTGGATGGGGGAGTGACTTAAGCAGGTTTTGAAGGGCAAAGTAGAGGGAGAAATGTGAGGAAAGTCACAGGTTTGGAAATCTGTCAGGCCTGTACAAGTCATAACCGTCACTGAATTGAACTGGGGCATTGGTTTGGATTTATACTGTGGAGGGTGGTGGGAACCTGTGACCTCTGTTGAATCAAGGGAATGTCAAGAGCAGAATGTAGTTTAGGATGACTCATCTGGCAACAGTTGAAATGGGTGGAATAAAGAGAGGTTCTCTTTAGTGGAAGGTTACTAACCAAGTACATTAGACAACACATTTGTTTACCTCCCAATTATTATTTTGAAGAGTAAGTGAAATAGAGGATGAGGAAGTACATTTGGAGACATGAATCAGGATGGTTCAGATCCCAAGCTTCCCAGCCCCAAGGCAGTGTAAGTCAGACTGACTCACTAAGGTGGATTTGAAGGCCTGCACAGCCCAGATGTACCTGTCCCCCCATACCCTCCTCCTGTGTCCTTCTCTTGACTCTTGCCTTTCAGCTTTGATTTGGTTCTTGCTCCTGCCTGGCTCTTGACTTCCTTAACTTACTTCCATTCCTGGGCTGAAAATATCCAGTAGTGGGGCTTGATCTGTTTCTTTTCCTGGATTATCCTTGACTATTTCCAGGAAACTGTCCCCTTCCCAGCCAGTTTGGAGGAACCAGCCCTTGAGACCACCCCATTCCTATTCCAAACAAGCCCTAGTCCTGGGGTGTCTTCCAGTGTAGCCATGCCAGAGGGACTGGCCCAGAGAGGAGTGCTGAGAGACACAGGTAGAAAGGATTGTTAGTCTACTCTGAGGTTTGGTTTCCTCCTGGGTAAAAGGAAGTTAGGCTCACTCTTCCTATTTGGCTGTGAGGCTTAACTAAGGTGATGATTGAAAGGGTCGGTTGGTAACCAGTGAACACTGGTTGCCCACAGTCTTTTCTTCTGACTCTATTCCAGATAAAGAATATAATCATAGGAGCTGAACATGCTCTCAAATCTCTGTCTCTCTAGTTTCAATATTTTCCTCCCTCCTCTTTTGGGAGGAAGCTTTGATATAAAATGTTCAGCTAATTGTGTTTTTGTTCTCCAGGAGGTTCTATCTTAGGGAATGTCCCTGAGATCCCAAGATAGAAGTTGAAACATGGTTTTCTACAGAAAGAATGTTGATAAATGTTGGGTACATACCTATGAGGATATTACCTAAGGAACATTCTGAACCAGGCAGGCACTCATGAAATCATAACAGCACTGATTTTTATGAGTAAGTATTTAGACAGGTATTTTCAAGCAGGCAACTTAGCAGAAAGTAGAACCATCCATTTGTGATCTGGTGACTGCTCATCCTCATGTATATTGTTGTATTGGTGGGTGTCAGCATAGGAAGCTTTGACAAAGTTACATGATGCAAGAACAGTGTGATGTTATCCCTGAGTCTTGTGCCATTCTGACTACTCTATTTTATAAAATGGAGGATCCAAAGTTTAGTGGGATAGGAGAGTCTGAGAATCAGAAAAGGTCATGCAATATCTTACTCGTTGTGAACTCATATTTATGCCATGTGTGGATGACAGAATTGTCCCTATCATAGGACACTTTGTGATGGCTTGTGACTTTTTCTACTGCAGAAATCTACTTTCCTGTCACCTTCCCTCATTTGCTGTCCTGCCACAAGTGTACAAGCCACCCCTTTCCCAGGAAAAGGTGATTCTTTGAGGCTTTTTATGTCCCGGGGTCTAGGCAAGTCCAACTTGGTGTCTTCCACTGTCCCTGTCCCTTCTGCATGGGGTGGAAAGGGAGAATGGTGGACACATCCCAGTCTTTAAAGCAGTGTACGACTCTGCTCTGTATTTCACCTAGGAAAATGAGATACTTAATGAGCAACTAGTGAGAACCAGGCATTATATAAGTGCTCTTGCAACTAGAGGTTTTGGTTTTTTGTTCTCGTCACCACAACAAATCTGTAATGTAGTTGTTAATGTCATCCCCATTTTGGAAATCCAGGCATTTAGAAGGTTTAGCGACTTGCCACCTATGAGTCACTACGGATTCAGGCTTAAATACAATCAATCATATGGAGCCCGGGCACTGAGGACTTCCCATGGTGTGTAGGATATGACAGAGCATGCCTGGGCGGGGTCCCAGCGACTGGTACCTGTGCCTGGGACACATGACCCCTATAAGCACTTGATGAGGGACAGGAAGCAGGCTGGGCAGGGATTGCCAGCAGAGGCTCAGTACCAGCCTCTGTGCCTGCTGATAGCAAGGGAGACACAGCTCTCCCATGGGCCCCAAGATTCTATTGACCAATTTCCTGCAGCAGCCATGTGAATAAGAAACACAGCGAAGCTTCCAGGTCTAGTCTGAGCCACAGAACAGCAGCATTTGCAGGGTGGTATAGTCTTCATTTTGCTGCAAAGAAACCCAAGTCCCACAGTTTCTTTCCAGAAGAGGGTGGTCACGGTAGAGCCCTGAGTGGGAACCAGGTTTCACTGTTGCCATCCTCTGTCAGGAGGCTTGAGGTTGCAAGCATTTACCCTTCAAGTATAAACCAGGTTAGCTGCAGTGTTGGCTACCGACATTTCTTTTTCCCTTGGAGGAGATAGAAAGTGACTGATTTGCCACCCTGTGATTGATAATATTTTTTTTTTCAGTCTTCTTTCCCTTGGGCTACGTGTTCTTTGTTTCTTTGTTCTAAAAGGTCTGATTTCCTGCACCAACTCTCCTCTTCATGGCCCACCCACCCAAAAGACCCCTAATCTCTCATTCTTTCCCTTACACTAGACCAGTTCTATCCATGCTTGCCTCATACCTGGGGCTGTGGTTCTTTTTCTGCTCTCCTTTTCTTTTTATGGTGATTGCACTCTTCTCGGTTTTTCCTCGGTGAGCCCAAGTCATTGTTATACCCAGTGTTGGACAAAATACCTCACCAGCACTAAGTTTTATTATGACCATGGGTCTGTGTTCTTAGTTCCATCTTCACTGCTGTCCCTACCTCCTGTCCTGTCGCTCCTTGACTTAGATGGTATTTTAAAAACCTGGGTGACATGAAGAGAAGCACCTGTGTTTTCATTCATTTGGAACAATCTGCTTTGCTTTTCAGGTACCCAAATAAGCTGTTTCTCCCCAAGTTCTTTCTCCTGGCGCCAGGCTGCCTTTGTGGATTCTTATTGCTGGGCTGCTGTGCAGCAGAAGGGCTCCCTGCAGAGCGAGTCTGGAAACCTCCCACTGTGGCTGCATAAGGTGAGAGGACACTTTCCAGTCTATCCTGTTTGCTTGTAAATGAGAAACTTGTGCCCATATACAGTCACACAGGCAGGGATAGCCCATCATAGCCAGAGATAGGTGTGGCTGGTGCTCAGATTATAAAACCGTCGGACTTTCAAGTAGAAAAGAACCTCAGAGACTACTTCGGCACCTTCATGTGGCAAATCTGGAAACAGATGTTCTTTGGATTTTACCCTATAATGAAGGCACCTTGTGTGTCTCCACCTTTGTGTCTTTTTTTTCTTTAGCAAAACATTTATTGCTACATTTTAGATATACATAATGATAACACTCATCATAGGGAATTTGCACCTGTACATGATATATCTTGCCTCCTCTTTTTTTTCCCATTCTTCCTTAACCTCAAGCCCTCCTCCTTTCCCTATATGCAGAAGCTTTGTCTCCATTTTTTCCTTCTAGTTTTACTTTTTTTCTTGTCCCTTCCTTTCTTTCTCCCTCCCCCCTTTCTTGTTCCCCTTCCCATATGAATATTTTCTTCCCATTTCCCAATATCTATTACACATTTTAGTCCTCATTTCCACTTTCAGTTTCTCACACCTGAGAAACAATGCAGTATTTAAATGTGTGTCTGATTTACTCCACTTAAGAGTTTCAAGGTGCATCCATTTAGCTATAAATGTCTCAGGCTCATCCTTCTTTATGGTAGAGTAGTACTCCATTGTATAAAAAACCCACATCTTCTTTATCCATTTGTTGGTTGATGGGCATTTGGGCTATTTCCAAGATTTAGCTATTACAAATTGTGCCACTATAAACATGGATGTGCATATATCACTGTGGTACAGTGCTTTTAATTCTTTCAGGAAGATATCAAAAAGGGGAATAGCTAGGCCAAATGGAACCTCTAGTTTTAGTTTTTTGAAGAATCTCCATACTGATTTCCACAGTGGTTGTACTGTTCTACACTCCCACCAACAGTGGAGAAGGGCTCCTTTTTCCCCACAGCCTCTTCAGCATTTATTGGTTGATCTCTTGATGATAGCTGTTCTTTTTGGAGTGAGGTAGAATCTCACCATTGTTTTAATTTACATCTCTTAAATGACTAGTGATGTTGAACATTTTTTTATATATTTATTTGCCTTTTGTACTTCTGAGAAGTGTCTGCATTTCAGATGCTCATTTTGGGGTTGGGTCTTTAAATTTGGGGGGTCTGATTTTTTTTTTGAGTTCTTTATATATATTCTAAATAGTAGTCCTTTGTCTGAGGAACAGGTGGCAAAAATTTTTTCCCACACTGGGTTCTTTCTTCACTCTGTTGGTGGTTTTTCTTGCTGTGAAAATGCTTTTTAATATGAGGAGGTCCCAGTTGTTGATTCTTTGTGATATTCCCTGTGCTATCAGAGTTTTGTTCATAAAGTCTTTTCCTACACCAATGTCTTTGAGCATTTTGCCTATTCTATCTGCTAGCAGATTTAGTGTTTCTGGTTTAGTATTTGGATCTTGATCCATTTTGATTTTAGGTTAGTGTATGGTGAAAGATATATGGGTCTAGTTTCAGTCTTTGCTTGTGGAAAGCCAGTTTTTCCAGCATCATTTATTAAAGAGGCTATCTGTCTTCCAGTGAAAGTGTTTGGCTCCTTTGTCAAAGATAAGGTGGCTAAGTATGTCTGGAGTTGTTTCTGTATCTTCTAATCTGTCCCATTGATTGTTTTTTTGCCAGTACCAGGCCTTTGTATCTTTAACATGCAGTAGAGTGTCTGGCCCATAGTATCCTCTCAGTACATTGGAAATGTGAATGAGCAGAGCTTAGATCATAGTACAGCTGGGATCTGAGCATAGCTCCCTGCCTGGTAGTTTTTCTACTATACACAGGGCCTGTTGGAAAAAGGACCAACATAGAGTTCAGTTGCCTCAGGCTAGTGTGTTACTAGAGCATCCAGAAGCCTAGTGATGCCTCCTAAATTCCTTTGTTTACTGATGAATCCAGATACTGCAAGGATGACGAGATACATCATAAGACACATCAATATCTGGGTTCTGTATCCTACAGAGAAGAGGTACAGGTTAGGAATTCTGTGGTCAAGGCAGTGCTGTGAGGCTTGGGGATGCATATTCTGGAAAGTTAAGGAACTTGGGCTGAAATTAGAAAGTTTGTGGAGAAGCACATTCTCTGAGCAGGTGAGGCATTAGATCTCTGCATATGAAAGAGGACTTTGTTTCAGCCTGTTATTAATTTCAGCTACTAGTTCTTTTTGTCTTTTGTGTATTTTCATCTGCTGAGGAAAACACAGAATTTTAACCTTTTTTTTTTTGAGACAGGGCTTCACTACGTAGCTCAGGCTGGCCTTGAACTCACTATGTAGCCCACCTTGGCCTGGAAGTTGTGGCAATCCTACTGCCTCAGCACCCCCAGGGCTGGGACTACAGGTGTGCACCATCACTCCCAGCTTAGAATTTTAACTTCTGAAAGGCAAAAGCTAAAGTGTTATTTAACTATTTCTTGCTTTAAGTTGTTGCTGGACACCCCAGTCAGTATTTTTCTTTTTAAAAAGAACAATTTCAGTTTGTTATGACTCAGGAATGTTTTCTTCTGTTTTTTTTATTGCATTCAAGTTGGCATAGTGATGCCCTGTAATGACTCCTGTCTTGATTTGGGTTGGGCTTTTCTCTTTGATTTTCAGCCTTAGGCATGGGTAGGCCTTCACCAGCTTTGTATGGTTTAGTAGGCAGGGCAACATGTCATAAGAATCTGCCCCAGATACAGGCTCAGTTCCAGAAGTTGAACAGCTTTGTTTGTAAATCTCAATCCATGGTGTTGTAATTTCAGTCCATGTGTTGTAGTGTGGTTGTGGAAATGGAAAGCTGTAACCAGTCACTGGGCTGGGCACACATAGAGCCACAGACGAATATGTCATGGGATTTTCTAGTGTAAGAGCCTACCGGGGTGTTAGCTGTTGTGAAACTTTTGGATAAAGAAGAAATGCAAAGATTCTTATCCAGATGCTGTCACATGGAAGAATAGGAGAAGCTTGAGAGCTCACGCTGAAGAGTCAAAGGACTAGCTGGCTATCACCAGAGCACAGGTCTGCAGACTCCCTGCCCACCGTCCCCTGTCCTAGAAGGGGGATTGTGAGTGTGCATGGCCGTGTCTTAGGTTGCCTGGTACTAATGAAGGGTTAAGAAGCTCTCTTTCTGGTGGTAGTAACTTCCTTAGATAGCAGTCTGGCTGAGCATCTGAGCAGAGCTCTTGCCAGATTCATAGGGCTGGGGGCAGAAATTGAAATTGGGACTTGCCAAGTTGGAAGTACCATAGTCAACACCCTCAGGCTTTTCGTTGGTAATCTAAAAGGCCATTCTTTGGGAGAAAGGGATTCTCCAGAATGAAACTAGCCCTCACATGGACTAGAGTCCTGGTGTGAATCTGTTTAGTGCCAGTGGAATAAAGGAAGTCTGTCACTGCCTGTGTCTCTAGTCTGCCTACCTGCCAGTAATGTATCTTAATCCTCTCTGGGAGGAAAATGACATTAAGCTATGTACAGATGTCCACCCTTTTGCCTTGGCTGCACTGCATGAAGAATTATCTTGGGCAAAACTGGTGTGATGGCACATACCTGTAATCCGAGCACTTGGAAGGCTGAGGCAGGAGAGTCACCATGAGTTTGAGGCCAGCCTGAACTACATAGCAAGGCCCTGTCTCAAAAAAAAAGAATTATCTTGGGCCACGTAGTACAACATATATAATAGAGTTAATGTATGTGATAACAGAACTGCCTTTATTTTAGTATTTTTATTATAACATTAAAAAGGTTTTTGGTTTTATTGTGTGTGATAGCCACAGAAGGCAGAGTCAGCAGCACTGCACCATGCCCTTCCTAACACCAAATTTCTGTCACCTACACAGTTCATACCCGAGCACTGTGCGGTCAAGTCATGAAAAATATCACTGAAAATCACATGATTCGATGAGAAGTTTACTATCTTTTGGTGCCACATTACTAGCTGGACAGGACCACGTGCAAGTCAGAAGTTGCAGGTTGAACCTGCCTGGCTTGGAGCTTGGAATGCATTCCCTGGTTTTTCACATATGGGGGTCAGCGCTCACTCAGAAATGCTAGGAAAAGCAAGGAAAAAATCAGAAATAGAAACGGACCCATAGAGATCTAGATCAGACACCCATTTTAAAGAATCATTAATCATGTGTTCAAAGAATTACAATAATATGGAGAGTTTCATAGATAACTAGAAACTGTGTAAAATAATGAAATGTAAAATTTCAAGCTGAAAATAATGTGACAAAGTTCATTTTAGCTGACACTGAGGGTCCTCCATATGCTAGGGTGTGTGCTTGACAGCAGAGAGCCACAGATGATGGGTCCCTTCCTGAAGGAGCTAGTGGCAGAACAAACACAAGAGAATACTGCAAGGAAACAAACAGAAAGCTAGACCGAAAAGGATGAGTGTGGTTATTCTAGAAACCAAGAGAAGCATTTCTCTCAGAGCAGTGAACTCTGTCACATTTTCCACTGGGATCACAGCAGAACCAAACTTGCTAAGTTTAATGAAATCACCACTGATCCTGGCAGGAGGGACTGTAGTAGAGAAGCAGGGGCCAGATGGTGGTGGGTGAAGAGAGAATGGGAGGTGAAGAAATAAAGACGATGAGAATAGACAATTTCTTCCCCAGAATTTTCTTCTTTTACAGAAAATCTTTTTTTCTGGTAAATGGAAGAATGATAACAAGCTGGGTGCTAACAGGAAGGAAGGTTGGGGTCCAAGAAGGCTTTATAATATGAGTATTCTGTGCAAATTCAAATGCTGATAGAATAAGAGGTAGAGAAGAGGCTAGAGATGCAGGGCCCAAGAAGCACAAAGACACTGCCTGGGGGTGGGGGGTGGCAGCAGTTTCCGGGAGAGGCTTGTCCTATGAGGGAGCAGTGGGACTTTGACTAACTGGAAGGTAGCCTTGGTTACAGAGGATCTGCAGGAGCTAAGCAGGCACATAGGTTAAGAGCTGA